TCTTGCCTTTGTCCGTCTCGTCGTTCCATTCTCGTATGGGTCGTGGAGGTTGCGATATGGGACGGTCGGATAGATTGGTGCAACCTGATATGTGTAGTATCCATGGCGCTGGCTTGCCAGCATTGATGCCGCGAGCGAGTCCATTGACAAAGGCAATGGCGCCTTCAGGAATGAAGCCAGAGCCTGTGTTGATGATGATGTCGTAGTTGGACGCTGTGTCTTCGATGAAGGCTACATCTTCTAGACCGGACCATTTGATGGTGTTTACACGGGAGCCGTATACGGTTTTGAGCTTCTGAGCTTGCGTTTCATCGCGGATGAGGAGGTCGAAAGTGAGATCTTTGATACTCGGTGCTGTGTTTGCAATGAGCTGGGCGAGAACAGTGCCGCCAACGTATCCTGTAGCGCCCGTGAGTAGAATCTTGCTCATTGTGAAATCCAGAAGGTTCTCCAATAGGTTCGAGAGATGTATTGGTCAACGAGACCATTTGCTCCCTCAACCAGTCTTGTCTTTCGAGACAGCTCCTCGGAGACTGACTCATAGTCATGCTTCATAGTGGGTACCATGCTGTGGGAAGCGACCCCGGCCATGTAGGATTCTTACACATTGGGAAATAACAACGTCGCGTGGGGTTGGGCAAGGAGCTGGAAGGATTCTTCCGGTTAACCGAGTTGCTTTGAGCGTGCATTGGTCGCATGTCAACTTCCGATATGCGTCCTGCATTAACAGTCGTGACCGTGGGAGGACGTGACCAGGTAGCCGACACTCAGAGAAAGAACGGAACGTCTGGTCGTTGCGGTCAGGCAAAGGGCGGCTATAAATGCGAGCCACATCTTGTCTACCAGGCGGTCGAGTTGTGGTCGACTTCTTCCTCAACACACTGTCGAGCTGAACTGTATGAGGCAAATCCGCCGCTATTCCAGGGGGAGATGCGTTCGTGAGGCACAGCAAGATCGGCTCATGTGAGAGGGAGGGGGTGCACGACCGTCGCTAGTTAGAGTCGAGCTTTCTGGTCGCGACAGTGACATTGACGAAGGGTTGTGGAACGCCTGAGATGTTGATGTGTTGGTCTCGCGAGAGCAACACTAGCAGACGAAGGTTGGATCTCACTACCGCATGAAGACCAGTGGCTGACTGAAATCTTTCGTGTTAATACAGCCGCAAGCCATAACGGCTTTGGGGTGGTCGCAAAGCTGCTACAAACAAAAAAGCATCCGGTGGTTGATTGGGGTTATTCCCACCAGTTGCCCTTACAGAGCGTGGACCGGGCGCCACATGGCCGTGCATGCTACGTTTGTCGTCCATCGCGACCGTATGTTAGATCCGAGTTTCTGATTCTATGAGCAATGGCGCAATGCGAGGGTTGCGTGTGCTGGGCGAGACGAAGTCTGTCGTGTAGATGATGAATGGAGATGGATGAGCGATCGCTCACGCGACGCGTCTCCTTGCAGGCCGACTAGCGCGACAATGGTTCGCGTCAACATGACGTAACCACCGAGGCTCATAAACCCACATGGGCATGAGGTGATAGTGATGGGAACCCATCCTATTTTACCCAAATATCATCGCATTCAATGATGCATCTGAAATCGAACTATTGGAACGGAGACGATGAGTAGCGAGCAACGATTGCGGTGCGCATCGCTCAGCAGGACTCCGCAATTCCTCAAGAGACTTGACCCTTTCTTCTTACTATGCTTACCAGTATCTTTAGTCCAGGTCGATCCTGTAGTACAATATCGCGCTTCGTAGTGTTCATCGCATAGCTACATCAGCGTATGTTCGCAAATCCTGCAAACCAGGCCGACAACTCTGACGAATGCCTCTAACCGTGTAGCGTAGTGTGCTGGTGGTCTTGTACCGCGTCCAATGAGTGTTCAACCTCCCATGATGTCGAAAATCAGGCGTGACACTAGATGCGCCAGGAGAACGAGTTGTCTCGTGAAAACGGGTGGAACGGAATTGGAGGAGAGGCGAACTGCCAGACCCGGAAGCAGTTAGACCAGGTCTTAGCGTCCGCGCTCCTCCCGCCGACTAAACCAGATACCAGCTAGACTGCTCCCCAACCTCCACAGGTTGACCAGAACCACGGCATCATCTGTACGCTTGCATCCACTTATACGATGCACCCATTCAACATACTGTTGTCGTTTCTTGTACGATGTGCTGGGAGCAGCAGCTGAGACACATACCAGACGACAACTTCGCTATACCTGCCGTCCTTGCCGGAACCGCCATCAATCGGCACTCACATCCGGAGAGATCCACACAACACCTTATTGCCAAGCGGGTGACAGCAATCAACGTCATAGGCATCAGGCATGCTTTTTCATCATTTGCCATGTATTCAAAGATGGGGTTTGCTCCAGCTTCGATCTGCATCCAAAACTTCACCTGAGTTGAACTATCCACACGCTCCATCACACAGCGTGCCATGTCCAACATCAACATCACCAACGAACGAGAATCTTACCAAGCCGTTTTCGCACTCGATGTCATCACGGCAGCCGGCGCCCTGATCTTCCTTGGTCTGGCTTCGAGACCTACCTTCCAACGGATCAAACAGCGCCGCTTCACCGCACCGGGCAAGAACAGCGCGCGCGATGGCCCGCTAAAGACGACACTGGGAACGTATCTCTTCCTCTGGCCAGCGCTTCTCTGTCTCTTCGTCGCGTACCTATGTCGCTTCATATCCGATGTCCTGAAGACGAGCGGAACAATCGACTACGATGCGGACCTGGGATGGAACGGGCGTCGCGGCTACACTCTCACAGGCAGTGACTACGCTTCGAGCATCTCAGCGCTTACTTTCGCGACAACACTTGCTACCATCTTCTTTACTGTGTTGCTCAACGGCGGCGTCTGGATTCACTCTAGTCATGTCCAAGAGAACGGTACGGGTATCTCGACACCGAAGACCATGTCGCGTATCTGGAACACGTTCATCATGGTTGCCATGTTAGGCACCGGTGTTGCAGCTTGGGGTCTGGGTCTAGAGGCACGAGACATCAGTACCGGTAGCTCAGGCCCGGATGCGCTCTTGTCTTGGTCAAACGTCATGCATCATGACCGTGCGACGAGGATCACCTATATCGTGCACGAAGCTATCGTTGTGGCAGCCAGTCTGAGTGTTTCCATCGAAGTCTGGAGGGAGTATGGTACCACGAATAAGAATGCTCACGGTGTAAGTCAACCTTTTTCCTACAATGTCTCTGGTCTTGAAACTAACGCTCCGCAGTCACCTGAACGCAACGATCTCGCTCGTTTCGCTTTCACCGTCGTACCCCTCATATGGCTTCGCGACATCTTCATCATCTACGATATCATCCTGCTCTACGTCGACACCTCTGGATGGTCGGACAGTTCCGTCTTGGCTACGACCTTCCTGCTCGTCATCTGCAGGCAGTTTGCCAACCTAGCCATCTTGGGTATGGTGCTCTGGGGTGCTTGGCGAATGGGCCGCAGTGTTAGTATGTTTGGTGGAAGCTATGCTTGAGTGAGACAGCTACTCGCGGGCTTGTCGCATCATGAGACTACGTAAATCATGGCAAAATGCTCCAGACTCTCGATCAGGGACACAGCGTAACGGTATATAATTTTCTTTGTATGATGAGTAGATGTAGGATAGCTTTGGCACATATGAGATTGTAATAGACTGGTAATTGTTTCATTGCTGCATTGTCATGGGATCAGAAAGTACGCCAAAGTGAAGCCTGGCCAAATGACCGAGCCTTAAGACCAACGAAACACAGCCTATACGAGACAATTTGTCTCAGTCTAGCACTTTCTTCACCCTTATATATTGCACAGTAATTGCCTTCCTTCAGATTTTCACTCCTATCCGGCACATTAGCTACTCAAATCATAAAAGCACCATCACTGACCAACATGAGCGACAGCGAGATGACCGACCTAGCGGACCAAGTCAACGATATCGAGGTCCCGCTAACCGCTCAAAGCAAGGCACAGCGCAAACGGCAAGAAGAAGTTACAAGCCTCCTCGGTACTGACATGGCAGGTCTAGCGGAAGAGTTCATGGACATCGCAACAGTCAGCCACCCTTCTCCATCCTCCGAATTACATGACCACGAAGATCCAGACTCACCATCTTCTCCGCGCTCACCCCTAGCCATCGATAAATGGATTAGTGAGTCTGAAGATGACGCGCGAACGCCGGAGGAGGACAACGCTTCGCTAGAGAGAGCTCTGCGGGAATTAGAAGAGAAGCGAGCTAAGTCGCGACCCAAAGCACCGAAAAAGCGTAACTATGGTCGAGTTGGTCGGAGCGGTAGAGCCACGAAGCTCGCAATTCGAGGTGGGCCCCCGAGGGAAGTGCGGGATGGCAGCAAGCTGCACACGGAGAAACGTAACTATGGTCGGGTTGGTAGCAACGGTGGAATTATAAAGAGAAACATGGTAATTTGTGGTGGGCGCCCAGGGAAGGTGCGCAGTGAAACTAAGGTTGGTAGTAGCGGAACTACAGAAACAGATATGGTGATCCGTGGGGGGCGCTCGGAGAAACCGCGGGATGACAGTAACGTGCACGCGGATAGGCGGACAAGCCAGGCACCAAAGGAAGCCTACCGTAAGCGAATGCCACCTGTAGAACCCGTTGCCGATTCGATCTGGGAGAATCTGGAACATGAAGCGTGGCTGCAACGAGGAGGCAGGAGTTGGTCTACGGAGGCAGTCGCTGATTTTGGCCGAGACGAGAGGGACATGTACGCGTGCTTTAGGTAGGCGTTTCTCCAGAGCAAGGAAATACAATATTGGTATGTTGTTTGCTGTGTGTAGCGTAGAAGAAACACCTATGGTTGAACGTTGTTGAACCACGGATAGATATTCTTACCATGTCCCAACTCGTATCTTCTAGCGAACTTGACTGCGCGTGCTGAAAACGCTGCGTATAAATCATGCTCGCCAACATCTGCAATCTTATTAGCAACATTTTTTTTTAACCTTACTGACATATCTTTCCCTGGTAATCTAACCATTCAAGATGGCTCCCGACACAAGCACAAAGCCTAACCAACGCAAACGTCGCAGTGCAGACTCGACACCACCACCACCGCGGCGACAACGGCCGCTTCTTCCGGGATCGCCAAGGGCAAGACGGGATGCCCACGGTAACATTACAAATGCAGCTTACCTGAGTGAGGCCACACTCGCGCGCGAGCAGGGGCTGAATAGGCCTCAGGTTCTGCCAACCAACGCGGCTCCTGGTTCTCCTGGTCCTAGCCCAGCTTTTCGACAACAGTTGGCCGCCATCCATACGCGAAGAGAGCATGTGGACCAACCACATGTAGCGACCAACGTGCAGTATGGTCGTAGGTCGGCGCCGCAGAATAGCGTGCGCAGCCAGCGCTATGCTCCATATCCGCTTGCACCTCCAAACTATCAGGCTGCCCGTCCCGGAGCAGGATATGCGCCGCCTGCTGTTACGGCACCAGCCTCGCGTCTGAATTTCATACAGCCGCAGCAGCAATATCAGCAATACCAGCATTATCCGCAACAACAATTTGGTAACTTCTTCCCTGATGCGGATCTGATGAGATTTCCTTCGAACTCGAGTCAGGCTACTTTGGGCCATGGCCCTTCGAATGCTATGGGGCATCAGCCTTCAGGGAATGGCTTCCAGGAAAATGCCTTGCGAGCTGAGGACTTTGAGTCAGCCGGACTGAACTTGGATGCAGTTCAGAATGAGGAATACGATGAGAATGCCGGGGAAGTCCAATTCCTGTCTGACTTTTCGGAATTCCAAAACTTCTTGTTGGGTCCATCCGGGGTGGTGGCTCCTCTTGAACCGTCGGATGGGTCGTACAGCCTCGATCAGATGGCTTCACGTCCGATCTTCCATCGGTATCCCGCTCCTGCTCCTGCTCCTGCTCCCGGTTACCAGCAACCCCTCCCGGAACCTACCTTTACCGGCTACAATGCCCCTGGGGCTTACCAAAGTCCATATGCGCCGATCATGTATGCTCCACAGCCTGCGCATTTCCATCCGCAACAGCGACCGGGACCGATGTACGCGCCAGGCCCCGTCAACAACGTCGTCATACCGCAGCCAGGCACGATGTATGCGCAGAACTTCGTCAATAATTTCCCGCTACAACAGCATCAACCCACCATGTATACGCAACCATACCCGCGACAACAGCCGACCGCGCAACAACCCCAGGTCAGCTCCAACTACCCTCTTACCGCCTACAACCCACCAGCGGCCTACACAGGACCTTCCTCGCGACAGCCAGGGAACTACAACGGCAGCACCGGGCAGGCGCAACAGTTGGATGCGGTATCCGGGAGACGACGGTCAAGCTTGTACCTTACCACCGAGGAGTGGGTTGAGGCGCAACGAAGGCAGCATCCTTCCGGTGAATAAGGATGCAGACGGAAAAGGGGATGAGAAGGGGATATGAACGCGGAGTACAAAGGAGAACAATGGGAGATGAACAAGCGCGCACACAACAAGACGTCTAGAAATGACGAGTGACGCGAGATGGAGAAGGCTGAAGAAGAGAGAGCAGAGAAGACGCGGAGATATGGAGACTGGAGCTGCGAAACTGGCGTGGATCCAGTAAGAAGATGGAAAGGAAGAGAAGACGACAAGCATGCACCGGGTACAAGCTACATCATCAACCGCATCCCAACCAGTCCGCGCCATACCACACTACTGAATCTTCATCAACTTCCCGAGCAGAAGCTTTTGCAGACAGACAAGCAAGAGCGATGACCTTCGTCGCAATCCTGAGTGTGAGGATGGTCTTAGCGGTACCGACACCCCGATAACCGATATCGGAACGCTCGTCATAGCTTCAACCCGCATTTGGAAATTAGTTCTTGGCGGTCGTTGCAGCCAATGAGGTTGTTGCAGTACATTGGACTTTGCTAATGTAAATCTACACATTAGAGATCGAATGGGCGTATTAGGGTGGCTTTGGCTGAGCTATGTCGACGGTATAGATGCTCTGTGACAACAGGCTCAGTGGATCTCATGATACCAAACACGCAGACATTTGGCCCGAATAGTAGTATGACTTTTATCATTGGTATCTATTTTATTCATCTCGTCGTACTCGTCGAAACGGTGCATTCCCCCAACCCTAACTTGACTTCGGCTTGGGCGTAACCTCAGGACTCGCATAAGTAACCTGATCATGCATATTCTCACGATGAAGCCACCTCCGCCAATACGTCAGCGTCGTATGCATATCAGACGAAGCCTTCTAAGCCCTCGACATGTTCTCGCCCTCCTCCGCCTTCTGGAGCCCGTACTTCTTGAGACTATTTCACGTTAGCAAACCATCCACAAACCATCCATACCCTCCAAGAACAAGGACGTCTAAACTCACCGAATGCTCTGAATAGCAATAAAGCCCGTAGTATCCATAGGACTAAAGTTATCCAGCGTATCCATACTAGCCTCCTCCTCAGAGTACAGCTTCTCCGTCTGACTGGACCGACCAAGCACATACGCGTTACCCTTGTACAGCTTCAACCTGACCTCGCCGTTGACCCTGCGCTGCGAGAAGAGCAGACTGTTCTCGATGAACTCGCGTTCGGGCGAGAAGTACATGCCGTTGTAGAGCTGGTAGCTCCAGTTGTGGGACACGAACTGGTCGCGCAGGTTGCGCACCTGGGCGTCCATGACGAGGCCCTCGAGGTCGAGATGGGCGAGGCGGAGGATGGTCATGGCGGGGGAATCGTAGCAGCCGCGGGATTTGAGGCCGATGAAACGGTTCTCGACGATGTCGATGCGGCCGATGCCGTGGGTGAAGCCGAGTTTGTTGAGCGCGGTGAAGAGCTCGACGGAGTCGGTGTAGGTCTGCGAGGGGGTGGTGAGTTTGACGGGGATGCCCTTTTCGAAGTGGACGGTTATGTCGGTGGGTTCGTTGGGGGCGTTGAGGGGCGAGTCGGTCATGGTCCACATGTCGTCGGGGGGAGACACGTCGGGGTCCTCGAGGATGCCTGTTCTATTAGCCTTAAACATACAGTCTAGATATGTGATGTCTTACCGGCCTCGTAGCTGCAGTGAGCCAAGTTGGCGTCCATAGACCAGGGCTTCGCCTTAGTAGACGTAACAGGAATACCATGCTTCTCAGCATAGTCAAGCAGATCCTGCCTGCCCTTGAAGCGGTCGCAGAACTCCGGCAGCCTCCACGGCGCAATAACCTTGATAGTAGGCTGAAGTGTGTAGAAAGCCAGCTCGAAGCGGACCTGGTCGTTGCCTTTGCCCGTGCAGCCGTGCGAGACGAACCCACAGCCTTCTTGCTGCGCGACGCGGATCTGTGCGCGGGCGATGACGGGGCGGGCCAGCGAGGTGCCGAGGAGGTAGCGGCCTTCGTATGAGGCGTTGCACTGGACGGCGCGGAAGCAGAGCTCCTCGACGAACTCCTTTTGCAGGTCTAGGATGACCATCTTCTTCGCGCCGATCTTGAGCGCCTTCTTCTCCACCTCGTCCCACGGCTCTTCCTGGCCGACGTTGGCGAGGAAGCAGACGACTTCATAGCCCTCCTCTTTGTCTACGCGTTAGATTGTGTTGTGTGTCTGAATGTGCTTCTGACGTACCGATGAGCCATTTCAGGATCGTGGAGGTGTCGAGGCCGCCTAATGGCTCGGGTTAGTTTGTTGGCTCTGAGCAAGTTGAACGCAGGTGAACGCAGAAAGGCAGTTGACGCAATCGGCATAACACCAGCTGTTATAGGAATACTCACCAGAGTAAGCAAGGCAAACGCGTCCCTTTGACATATCTGCAAGTGTTGGGTATATAGAAAGTGAGAAGAAAAGAGTCAAGAAGAGTCAATTGAAGGAGGGGTTGCGGCGTCTGGGGAACGACGGGTGTGGAGAGTCAGAAACCTTATCTTATCGGCACAAAAAATGTTCGGTCCCTCACCATCCCTGCTGCCCGATCATCGGCTTGTCAGCCTCACGACGGACCTGAACTCTGGATAGCCCTTAGTAAAAGTAGCTGGAGTTCGTGTCGCGGTTTGCAGCTTGCAGTATATATACTATTAAAACTCCATTAGTAGGCAGCATCTAAGGTAATGTGTACTCCTGCACTTAAATACATGACACAATGCGACACAAACCGTAGCTATCCCTAGTGCCTACCTTACCGTATCGATTTGCTCAAACACCACAGTAAGTTCACACACAAACGTAACAAGCCACTAATGCGTCTCAACGGAATGATATTCGACAAGGTATATAATCCCAACGCCAAGTATGCAATGCCCCGTTCGTCCCAGAGCATAATTCGTCGCACGCGCAAAGTATAATCTGAACCAGACTGTCGCTATACCCAAACTACCCAAGATGCAGCGCCAAAAGTCAAATACGCGTAAACACTTCGCCTGGTGCGCTGAATGCTTATGGAATAAACGCTGTGCTTAGAAAGCACCACCGGCGACCCTCTCCCTCTCATAGAACACAATATACGCCTTCTCGTTCTGCAGACGGTTGTGCGGCGGAAGATTCCCAGGATCAAAGTCCGTGATCTTATCGTCGTTGAAACTGCGCCAACATCCTCTAGACTTATCCTTGACGAACGCGATGTAATGACCGCTTCCCAGCGTAGCACCGATATGCCAGATAACAGCGTAGGCGTTGTAGACATACGGCCCATTCATAGTAGGATCGCTCTTGACACCAGCAAGCTGCGCAGGTCCATCTCGGGCCTTTTCCGACACATATCTTTCTTGTTCTGGTGTCATGGGTGGCTCAACAAAGGGACCCATGTCGAGACGTTGGAGCGGGAAATTGACAGGCGTCCGGACTTTCCGTGCGCTTTCGGTGCGCGATGCGCTGAAACGTTTGAAGTGGATGACGAGGGTGTCGGGGGCGCGGGTAATGGTGATTTTCTTTACGGCTTCGCGGTCTTTCTTGCATCGAGGGCAACGCCATAGTTCGTCGCCTGCTAGACGCTCTGGTGCGCAGTATGAGTTGAGACAATGGCGCAGGTCGCATTCGCCGTCCCGAGGAATCTCCACGCTGATACTCCAGAAGGCTTCGTATGTTGTACTCGTCACGCCGCATGTCTGGCACGTAAGTTGTGAGGCGTGTTGACCGGCGAAGAGACCACCGATGACGGACATATCCCGATGTTGGTATCGTCGCCACTCAATCATTGCCGAATACTGGCGGGGAAACCTCTCTCGTTGTAGCTCTTCCTGGTCCGACAGTGGCTTGAGTGGTGGTTTATTCCAGGTCAGGTTCAAGTCTTCGTGCATATAGTCTAGAACGAACTCCAGGAACTCCTTGGCGTCTTGCTGCTCGTCAATGCCCCACTGCGAGTTGAAGTGTCCGCAGATGCGCTGTTCAAAGTTAGCCATGCCTATCTTCTGCTTCCATCTTTGACTTACCCTGAATGTGCTTGGGCGCACGGACGTGACATCGCCCTTGTAAAGATTAGACAGTAGTGTCGCGTACGCCTCTGGCAAGATCCCTTTTGTTCCCTTCCAGTTGTCTCGTTGAAGATCTCGTTGATATCGTCCGGTGAGGAACAGGTCTGAAAGCAATAGATGCCCACTGAGACACTGCACCACCGAGTTCATGTAGCACGTGACGCCAAAGTTCAGCAGGCCCGTCCTATGTAGCCTCAGGTTACTAAATTGAGGTTGTCCGTTGTAGACGACATTGCGGTTCTGTTCTTGCCGATCGTGTACGCCACTGTAGCTCACCCTAGGAACAGAAGGCGGCGGACGAGAAGGTGCGACAGGTATGGCAGGTGCGACGTATTGATTGGTCGACTGAAACTTCGACGGGTACATCATGGATGATTGCTCGGCTTCAACATCGGGGTATCGGCGTAGGAACTCTTCTGTCGAACGGTAGAAATCCTGCGTGGGTTCGTCCTCTTCTTCACCATCCGCCGGAGGAACCTCCACTGCAGCACGCCCCTTTCGAGCTTCCTCTAGCCATTGCTGCTGCTCTTCTTGGTCCATGGGAACGTATTCGCGTTTCGATCTTCTCTGTGTGTTGTTCCTCGCAATATGACTGGCAGCTGGCGATCGTCGGATAGCCCGAGCCCGCGTCGGACCAGCAGCCACTTGTCCAGCAGTGTTTGATGTCTTCAAAGCCTGTGGGCCCACCAGGTCCATCCAAGCATCGAGACCGCCTTTGAGAAGAACCGGAGGTCGCCTGAGCGGCTTGTCTGCATTGAACTCGTGCAGGGTATCGAATAATCGCTTCAACGCGATCTCGCTATCAGATCGGTTGTGTCTATGCATGAAGTCGATGTTCCTTGTCGACTCATCGTAATATACGACCACATCAAAGTCGGCCCTCTTGTCGAACATGTCCTGTTCCTCGTCTGGGGATATGATGAGACGGTCTAGAAGCTGTTCGGCGGAGTCGCCATCGCGCAAGGTCAAGGGCTCTATG